TATCTACGTATGTAATTATTGGGATCCAAGCATTAAATATTATCATTATTTGTTATTAAAATTTATAATTTAATTGTTTCTTTCGTTAAATTTTTTGAACTTGTTTTCTATTGGCCAATAAAATCACGGAATGATCTACAAAAATTAGCCAATCGGAATGAAAGCCCGCTATGCTTATGTAATCAATTTTTGTTAAATAATAATAAACAAAATAACGAATAAATAGTTTTAAATGTTCGGCTATTGAAAATCTTTTGTATATATTAACTGTATGACATGTCCATAACCCCTCCCTTTATAATGGATTGTTAATTATTGAAATGATACAAATACTCCGCAGTCAATATCTTATTTACTTATAAATACACATTCAGTTCAGGTTAACAAAATGCTGTTTGCACAATTATTCAAACCGTCCAAAATCATAATGAAAAATAAACTCTTATTATTTGTTCTTGTTATTGTATTCTTATTCAACTTTACCTTTGCTACTAATTTGAAAAGAGATGAACGAATTGATCGCACTTCTTCCATTAAGAAAAGAGATGAACAAATTAGTCGCACTTTTCCCATTAACCAAAAATACGCTAGCAGCTCATCTTTGGTGAAAAAGGCTGGTATTTGTCCAATTGGTACTTATGCAACTTATGCATGTACTGATAGCGAAGGAGGATGTTGCCCTACCGGTCAATGTTGCGAACCTAACTTCACATGCGGTGGTAGTTGCAGCAGTACCAGTAGTAGCATAGCACTAGTAGCAGTAATACCAATAGTAACAGTAATAGCAATAGCAACAGTAACAGTAACAGTAACAGTAATAGTAATAGCAATAGTAATAGCAATAGTAACAGTAATAGCAATGGTAATTATAGTATTCATTACAGTGGAGGAAGTATTAATAAGTTGTCAGTATCAGGATCGGCACTTATACTATTCCTTTTATTAGGTTTAGTATTGGTGTAATGGTAAAATAATTCGTAAGAAAATTTTTTAGAATTTATTGTGTTGACACCCTTATTTTATATGTATTGATCTTTTGTTAAAAAATGCTATTACTAAATTTTAGTTTTAGGGCATAATTTTGGACCATTATGAGGGTTATGTATAATAGCTAAATTTTAAATTACATAAGATTTTGAGCTGTCCTGAGCATTTTTACTTAGTATATCTAATCCCTATTTCATAATTAGTTTTTGAGATATCAATATCCCCTGCTATTCAATTTTTAATTAGGCATGTAATCAATAAATAAAAAATATTCAAGTCGTTCATAAAATTTATCATAATTACTTAGCCAATAATTTTTTTCATTCAGAATTTTTTCAAAACTTATGATGGTATTATATTACTTTTTAAAGAGGAGAAAGAACTATTATTTACGTTCCTAAGAATATTTACTTTTTGATCAAATCTAAAAAAGGAACGCAATTAATAAAATGTAAAAGGTTTTCGCTTTAATGCATTATTACCGTATAAGCGCGAAATAACGCCCAGGGGCGTTAATTCGAAAATCAGATATCCCTAAAATAGTGTATGTGGCTTCAAATTAACGCCCATGGGCGTCCCGAATTAACGCGCATCCCTATAAATAAATATAAAAAGATAAATGAGTAAAAGGTGCTTCGGAATGGGTTGATATTAAGTGAATCTATTTTTTTTACTTTAACAAAAGTCGTTCTTCAGGTCGAGACGATTCTAATGGTAGTAAAATCATCAAAAACGGTCCAGTAGTTCGCCCGCAATGCCTCTTTAAATTTTTGTAACGTTTGTTTATCTTTGTTTACAAAGGTAAACAAACGTTGCGAAACTTTGAAGAGACATTGTGGGGCGAACCGCTGGACCGTTTTTGATGATTTTACCACCATTGGAATCGTCTTGACCTGAAAACAACTTTTCTAAAGCCAAGAAATAGATTTACTTAATATCAAATCCAGTTCCGGGTACTTTTTTTATTCTTATTATAAATAAATACTATTTATAGTTAGGGGCGCGAATTTAATTCTTGTTTCGAAATAACGCGCATGCGCGTACTCGAAATAACGCGCAGGTCAATTAATTAGCGCGCAGGTGGGCGTTATTTCGCGCTTGTACGGTACACGTATTAGTTCTATCTAGATTTTTTATTTTTAATAAAGTTAAGAATGTGGTCCGAAGATTTTTTACTAGTTTGCAGTTTAGGTTTAATAAATATATTTATCAGCAGACTTTAGTTCAAGAATAATTAGATTAAGGGCGCTCTTAAATTCATAAGTCGAAGATCGAATTTTAATTAATGAAAAATAGTTTAGCCGGCCAAGTGAGTTCATTATCATGATGAAAAAAAGGTCTCTGTCCATCATTTTTTATCATAAAGTTTTCCTGACTAAAATCAATATCCACATTCCCAATATGAATCTTTAAAAAAAATTTATCGTAAGGATTACTTAAATTAATCTTAGAACTTGTGCACAATCTCGATCATTAGACAATCACATAGAAAGAGATGCTTGAGAGCGCCCTAAATGAAATAATGTAAACACGATATATATCGATATCTATCGTTAAATTCAACGGAGCATATATGACCTTTTTTTTTTTCCTAGACTATACAAATACAAACTTTAAATGCTGATTTATATATGTTTAGAGACATTAGACAAAATATGTGGGATGATGCAAACCTCATCATGTATTCTTAAGATTTTAAATAATAGGTTATTGAACAGTTTTTAAAAAACTAACTTTCTAAATAAATATTATAAATTTTTTGATAGATTTATGCTCATCTGTTAGGGAGAAATTTAACAAAATTATAAATACTTAAACAAATTTCATCATTAATCTTAAACATTATTTTGTATCCAGAAGTTACTTGTTCACCGATAGTATCAGAGCTGTTGAATACGTATTGTGATTAATGGAAACCAAGTTTTCGTTATACATATGAATCAGTTATATAACCCATAACCTCGAAATAGTAATCAGGAATTAATTGACCATAAAATTTAGAAGAAAATGAATTTATCTAGGATAATCGTTTGAAGAGTTATGTGATCTGATTATTTGTCACATAGAATAATACTATACAAAACGTATTGATATAATGATTTGATTAAATAGAAATTTATTTAATAATCATCCAGAATTTCTATGTTATCGACAGGTTCGCTGCCAAATATTTTTAATAAACGGGTTGAGATTTCTTTTGTATTTATGAGTTTGCTAGTGTACATGTGATCAGGATGCTTTGGTAGTTCAATGTTTGGCCTAAATTTATCTTCAACAAATTGTTTCAATATTTTTTCATTATTTCGCCACTGTTCAATTTTATTATTAATTTCTCCAGCGGTAGGTCTAATTTTTAGATCTAAATCCATGCATTGATTCGTTAATTCGATATAGCATTTAGGAATACTAGTAGAAAATTCCGGTCTTAATCCTGTACAGATTTTTATAGCAAGATCAATATTAAAATCATGTCCATCATAAGGTCTTTGTCCTGTTGCTAATTCCCACATAATAATCCCGAAACTAAAAATATCTGCCTTTTGTGTGAATGGTATACCCATCAATACTTCTGGAGCAACATAAGGAAGTACTCCATAAATACTTTGTGAACTATCATCTGTTTTTCTGGCTAATCCTAAGTCTGATACGTAAGAGTGCCAATAATTTTGTAAAATATTTCCACTATGTAAATCTGCATGAATATATCCTGAATTGTGAATTTGGTCTAAATCGCTAGAAATATTTAGTAGGAATTTCAGTTTATCTTTCCAAGTAATTTCATGAAAATTTTTTCTTAAATATTTAGCAAGACTTCCATCATTAGCATATTTAAATACCATCATGAGTTCGTTTTCTATTCGAGTTAATCCATATACTCTATCATTCATACATTTTAAATAACTATCAAATTCTTTTAAAGATAAAGCTTTAAGCGCAACAATAGTATCATTTCTTATTCCTAAACCATTCAAACAATTTGCAGAATATACAGTACTGAATCCACCTCTTCCTATTTCTCTGATGTTTGTTAATCTGTCGAATGAAATCCATTCAATCGATCTATAATGATAACTAGGAATAATTTGAAAACCTTTAATTAAATCGTCAATTTCTTTAGTCTCGCTTGTCCATCTTTGAATTTCAATATCAGGGCCACAAATCATGAATTCTTTACGGTTTAATCTGTATACTTGCAATTGATTTTCTTCATAAAAAGATAAAGAATTACATGTACAACGTCGCCAAAAATGCCCAGTCTCAATTACGATTTCGTTACAGTTTGTACATTTTAGAATAAAAAAAAGATTTTTAATAAAATGATGTTTTTTAATATTATCAATCTTATTCAACCATGTATTGAATTCTTTCTGGTTTATTTCAATGCCGTACCCGTAAAAATAACATAATGTAGTTTTTATAATTCCCTTCTCAAAACCGGTCTGAGCAGATTTTAGGAAATACATGAACGTCTTGTATTTATTCTTCTCAACATAAATGCCCAAAAGATAGAATTCTGCTACTTGAAAAGATCCTTCGCCATCATCTAAATCTGATGCTAGTCTGTAATAATCGAATGCTTTTGCTAAATCTTTCTTGACATTGATACCAAATTGATATTTCCATCCTTGTACACACAACTCTTGACCGTTCATAGTTAATACCACATACAGTGATGAAATTACAAAGTTTATGGTTTACTCGAGTAATAAATAATGTTAGTACGTATGATGCAAGAATTAAAAACTTCAAACTCTTTAAAGGTATTTAATTTTGCTCGATCTTTTTATTAAATATCATGCGGTGTAATGAATTTGTTACATGTGCTCATGTAGTGTAAATAGCCTTTACTATGTACATACGTACGTACGTACGTACCGGATCCGTTAAAACCAGGTTTGTTCGTATATTAATCTGCAAGTTGCATATATTATATTCTTATCTCACCTACTGCATCAAAAAGTAACCTAATTTACTGTTTATAGTAGGGAGTTGTTGGCGCCGTAATCATGTGATGCTAATTGTCACACGATACAATATATAAAAATCAACAATTAGATTGTTGATTTTTATATATTTTACCACGTGACAATTAGCATCACATGATTACGGCGCCAATCACTAATTACCACTCCCAATTTGTTAGTGCCACCCCGTGTGATATATAAACTGTGTTGCAGATCCCGGTAAAAATAAAAATTTTAAGACCATTGAACGAAGATATATTGACAACTACCTGCTTGAATCCGATAAACCCTTTTAGATTCGAATTCTATGGATCCATAGAATTCAAATAAAAAAAATTTCATCGAATTTAGCCATGTGGTTGTCGAGATATCTTCGCTCAAAATTAGAGACAAATCAAAATGCCTATCAAAATAGAAGCTGTGCCAAATTTCTCTTTAACTTTAAGCGAAGATATCTCGATAACTTTCTGACTAAATTCGATAAAACTTTTTTTTTTGAATTCTATAGATCATAGAATTCAAATACAAATTTTTTTTTCGAATTTAGCCAAGTGGCTATCAAGGTATCTTCGCTCAAAATTAGAGGAAAATAAAACGCTTATCAAAATAGAAATTTACTTTCTAACTTTGACGAAGATATCTTGATAATGGTCTGTCCAAATTTGATAATACTTTTTTTCTTTAATTTCTATACATTCATAAAATTTAAATAAAAAAATTTCAGTGAATTTAGTCAGATATCTTCACTTAAAGTTGGAAAGAAAATTTGGCGTAGAATCTATTTTGATGCGCATTTTGATTTTTTTTTTTGAGCGAAGATATCTCGACTAACACTTGATTAAATGCAATCAAATTTTTTTATTTAACTTCTATGAATCCATAGAATTTAAATAAAAAAGTTTTATCGAATTTGGTTAGATAGTTATCGAGATATCTTCGCTCGAAGTTAGAAAGAAAATTTGGCGTAGCTTCTCTTTTGATAGACGGTTTGATTTTTCTCTAATTTTGAGC